CTACGTATTTGTTTGGAACAATTAGTGCTCTCGCGAGATATTAATATCGGTGGCCCGCCTTCGCGTGCAACAGAGAGTATTAAACCGAGAGAATGCGGGATCGTTGGGCGGTGCGGTAAGCTTGAGAAGCAAGGGAAGATAGAAGGTAAGAGAGAAGTGATTAAATTGTAACTGGAATTCCGTATTGGTCATTCTCGCTTTCCGCTCGCGTAAGATTAACTTGTCATCGGACAATCACCCACTTAGCTATCCGGCATACAGGACACCAAGGTCGTGCGAGCAAGTTTTGTGCAATATCGCTTATTAGGTGTTCCAAAAACTTATCACAAGAAAAGCAACAATGACTATATTGAGCCATTGAAAGATAGTGGCGGGCGCGAAGTGTGAGACACGAGGTGAAAGTTCGTGTCTGTATACGTGTGTCGGAGAAAACAGAGTTGGCAAGAGGCGAAAAAGGAGGACCGGCGCGAAATAGAAGTGGCGACCCTGACCATTGACGCGCCGTTACTTTCGAGAGGAAATTTCAGCCGACCCGTAGCGCCGGGGTTTCCTCTCCCCCGAGATTCAGGAATTATCGTCGACAAGATCGTAACTCCTCTAACATCGGCTTCTTCCTAGGATATCCGGCCGACTGCCGCTCCGCTCAATGCAACCGCCAGTATCGCGAATAATTAATACTGCGGTTTGTTTGCACGAACAATCACAGGGGCGAGCATGAACGCGACTTCTCTCTCCCGTGTGCTCGCATCAGCGTCGGCTTTCTCGCCAATTCCGAACTATTGACCGCGAGAGAGACATTAGATATGCCAGCATTCTCCGAATGTTAAGCACCTTGATCCAAAGTCCGTCACATTAGAGCCGACGTCAGATATGTGCGGGAAATCGCGCGTCGTGTCGGTAAGGACTACCGAGTAATCAAGGGTCGTCAAGGGATTGTGGAATATTCCGCGTTACCGTGCCTCTCATGGATGCGCAATTTGCCGAATGCTACAGTGAGGAAGTACACAATACGTTTGCAACAGGCCGTAATGATTTCGAGAGTTTGCTCTCTCGGGAGAATATTAGTCGTAAGCGTTGCATTACTCGACGCGAAACAGCCCGTATAAAGTCGCGCTAAGTTTGACGTCTTAGCGTAATGGAAAACGGAAACTGAGGACATTATAGATTTTTGATGAAAGCTCAAAATTTCGAAAGACCTTTTAAATCCGATCATATACTTTTTTTTATTAATCCTACGCAATTCGCATATTTACGTTAGCTATAGATATGTAATTGTATCTAATGCGAATACAGAGTCGATGGAAAATTATGCTTATTTCCGACGTCCAATTTCGAAGGAAATAAAATTTTGTCTGGAAAATGAGATTTGTTCGCGGCGTAGCAATAGATGGCACATGACGGTGTATAACCATTTGGCAGCCACGGCTGGCTCTTGCGAGATCAAACTCGTAATCTGATGGGGCAGTTGCAAACATGCACAATATAACATATGGACGTTTTGCCAATAGATGAAAACATGGTACTTGAGGTAAAAGTTATGCAACAAGGCAATTATGGAAAATTGTAGAATATACAGGTTGCCCCGGCACAATACTACTTTAATGTCTTTTTAGAAATTAATTAATGTTTTAACATAGCACAAGTCTTAATTATATTTTAAAATCGTTATAGAAGACAAAACATTTCGAAAATCAGTTCAGGACGCAAACAAATCAATAATTTTTATATTTTAGATATAGCGTTCTATTCAAATGTCATTTTTTATTATTATATATCGCACAGATATGTATAATACGCTACGTGCGATTTTGCATTTATTCGGAATAACGGAATAAAAAAGTGCACGTTGACATAAAGCTGAAATCATGATTATCTAAAGGAAAAAAAATTTCCGAGCGCTAATCTTCACGAAGCCTAACGAGTTTCAAGGACCCAGCTTCAATTAGATTTAGGACCGTAAAAATACTTCGCTGGGGGTGCCTCCTTTCCTTACACTGTTCCCACTTCCACAGGAAGCAATTTTGGCCCTTTAATGAAATTTTAAAATTTGCTGGAGAGTCGGGATAATACATAAATCGTTTTATTTCTAAAGCACCCTTATTTCCGCACTTCATAAGGTACGATAAAAATGAAAATGTTATAGCTGCAAGCACATCGGATGAGCCCTATTTTCTGATAAGATTTGGGCAAAAATATATTACTTCCTACGAAAAAGGATAATTGAATTTATCTTGTTAATTTTTTCAATGTGCTTATTAATGAAACAATTAGCACTTTTAATTTGTAATTTCTTAAAATTATAAAATATGTATGTAAAGAATATCGTAATCGAATGCAAAATATCTTATAACTTTTAAAATAACTTAATAAAATATCAATTCGGATGTTGCTTATATTAAAATTAATTTGAAAATTATTTTTAAACAGGTTGTTATATTTTATTTTTTTTATTTTACTATTTAACTTTGTCTTTTACTATTAATTGAAATCTTTTAGCTAAGATTTTTAATAAATCAATACTGTTTAAACAAAGAATAAAAAAATTAGAGTTCTTGATAACTTATGCACGTAGACTTGCACATAGTAAGTTACAGCAAAATTTAATATATAATGGATCACTGACAAGCTGTGTGCATGATTAATCCAGAAATATCAAGTTTGAATAAAAAGTTTCCGGCAATTTTTTAATTATAATCAACTAGGCGACACATTCATGTTTGTACAGTACGTTCATGTCAAGATTTAACTGTTACTTTATAATTTTATATAAATATGAAATAGTACAATCGTTTCTCTAATACAAACTTTAATGTAATTAATTTTTGAATTATAGTATTTATCTTCTAATTGTTCTTTAAAAATAATACTTAATTAGATATATATTATATCTTAACAATTAATTTAATATATTAACAAATATAGTGCCAAATTAAATACTTCAATTATTTACATCTTTTGTTTATATCTTTTTCATCTTGTTTTTTAAAATGTATTTTAAAAATAAAATATTTTCCAATCCTTAATTGCTAAATTAATTATGATAACAAAAACATAGTGCATAAGTAAACGACGATTTCCAAAATCGTTGCTTCTAAAATCGTTCTAAAGTCGACTTTCGCGAAGAAGTATAACATATAAGTGACATGTTTGTTGCTAATTAGGAAAATTGGTGCCATCATGTACTGCATAACACGGTGCGAGTCGTAACACCTTACGAGTCGTAATAAGACGCTTTATTATTTCAAAGCACCGGAGAATTTCTGAGATGTTTCTTCCCTCTCACAGGAGTCACTATACATAAAATCCACCATTACTCATGTTGCAACTTGAAATATAAATAAACTCGATGTCAGCATCGTCGTTGCACTAACGTACGTTCTCTTTGCGTTATTATTGTTTAAACATATATTTACGTCTCTCTCTCCCCTCTCTCTCTCTCTCTCTCTCTCTCTCTTGTCTTTGTTAAAATGATAATACTACGAGTCCGCTCTCCACTTAATAACATGTCCTATCAGAGGAAATTAATAACTTATTATTAGCGATGTAAAAGGATTGCAATACCGTCGGCGCAAAGAACCAATCACGCGATATTGGTTATAACCGCGCCGTATGCGACTGCCATGTGCTAAAACGAGTTACGCTAAAAAGCGTTAATTTCGCGGCGACAGTCGTCGGCATCGATTATCGAAAGCGCACCCCTTTGTGTCCCGTCCGGGCAAAGTGGCACGCGCTTTTTATTATTTTCGCCAAACGCTTTTCGCGAGTATCGCGCCGGCCAACGTGACTCGCCGTTTTCATTTCCGCAAAGGTGCCGTTGACCAACCGTAAGGATAATGCATCGATTCCGTTCGAACGCGCGCGAACGAACGTCTATACATATACGCGCACACGCATACGCACACATATATTCCGGCGATGCCGTAAAACAATTTCGCGCATTTTTATCGCGAAAACATTTCCACGGTCGCGAGAGAGGTTGGCGTTATCTATAAAACTATAACTCCTCCATACGCGGTTTGAGCGCGCGCTGCCGTGCCTGGCAAGAGAACAGAGAATCGAAAAGGGTATTTCCACGAGAAGCGCCCGATCTCTCGCCCGAGAGGAGGATGGGAAATAAGTAGAAAACGAGGGAAGAGAGACAGACGAACGACAGGGAAACGATCGGCCGAAAGACGACGCGACGCGCAACGGCGGGTGAGAGAGAGGAGCCGCTTAACAAACTGCTGAACTCACACACCCCACGGGATTTTATTTCTACTTAAATGGAGTTGTTCAGATACGCACTGTGATCCTCGCGCTCCAATCCCTCGCTTTGAATTTATTTGTCCTGTTTGTTAACTTCTCCCCGTCCCGTGCAGAACTTTGCGAGCGTAGTTCAGTAATGACGTCGCCGTGCCGCTCAAAGCGTCTTAGTACCAATTTTCTAAATCGCAAATTACAGCGTATCTATGTTTTGGCATGAGAGTAACCGACGTGATTTCGTAATTTAGAGATAAAGATCTCTGTATTTGCATAGTAAACTTACTGCAAACTCTCGCTATCTGATTTTCATCTTATATTTACGGGGCTGCCGGCGGCTGGCCAAACAGGAAAATGAAAGCCGCTCATATTAAACTTTCATTAATCGCGAATTGCATAATGTTGATGTAAAATTGATTTGAAATGAGTTTAAATTTTTTTTTTTTCAAAAATAAAATTAGTGGAAAGTTGAAATAAAGAGTTAACATGTTTGTTATTGTCAAAATCAAACTGATGAAAATTTCATCAATTTTATCGATTAAAAAAGAAGGATCATTTCGAAATTCGATAGATGATATCGCGTTATAATTTATCACGGATGTCTAATGAAATTTGCACGGCCAAAACCCCAAATACCAATCATACGGAGAGACATCAGCGCGCGCAACACGGCGTGCAATTGCCAACGCCAGCACAGCGGAATGTATGGCTGCAACCGCGCGTGGAAATAGGATAGCCGGGGTTATGATGTTGCGTCTCACCTTGTATGGTCCGAGACCCTCGACGATGCAGGTGAAAATGGCTTCGCGACCCACCGAGACTGTGAGATTGTTCAACGGTTGGCCAAACCTGGGTAAATCTGTAACACGTGAACGTCCTCGACTTAAGTATCACGCTATCGCGCGAATGCTCTACGTATAAACGGCGGTATACATACTCTTATACTTACTTACTAGTACTTATACTTATAGCCCACCTACGTGCGCGCCGAAGTTTGCAAAGTACTCGAGGAACTCGGCAGTGAATAGCGCGAGTTAACGTAAACGGGTCAAGCGAGGACTAAGCCTGGCGCTTTATAATTCTACAATGTTCTTTGTGTGCTCTCGATTTTGAAAAATAAAGGCCATTCGAAATCATCGCACGCCGATCATATCGTTGCGCCGTAATAATTTTATTAATTTTTAATAAGAGTTACTTGGCAAATTAGCCGGAATGACTCAAACAATCGTTTCTATTGCGTTTTTATATAATAGTTCCGAAGATTCAAAATGCAAGTGAGCGAGCAAACTCCCTTTATATTCTGACGGTAAATAATGATATGTTAATATCTAATAATAATTCATAATTAGATTATTTAACGTAGATCCATATATAACGATTTTTACTAATTTCCTCACATTAATCACCGAAATATTTTGCGGTAAAATTTATTACGGTAATGAGATAAACGTTATTGTGAAAATGACAAGATTGTTTGTCCAATATATAACAAAATTCCTTTCATTAAGCTCAGCTTTATAGACGGCCCGCTCATCAAGCTTAGAAACTTCTAAGAGGCCATTAATAAGCGAGCCAATTACTACTTCAAAGAAAATTTTCGAGACGAGGTAGTATACTTACGAAACTACGCGTGATGATACGAAGTAAGTTAGCAACAGTTTATAGATGCATGGTACGTGCATCATCACGCCGTTATAATCCGGAATTTAATGTGTTCAAGTATTTCTCTCACCTAGAGAATCGATATTGTCGCACGCGATATTTGCATATTCAATATCACGTCAAATATTTAATTCTCCAGATTTTCGAAATCCGAAAAGACGTGATAAATAAATTATTTTATAGTTGACAGCACATCTGTTTATAATTTTTTCATGATTGTATTTTTTTTTCCTTCTCATTGCACAAATTTTTCAAAATATTCTCAAAAAATAGTTTTCAAACCAATGCGATCGTGTCTTTTTTTTTACACGTTTGTTAGTTGTATTAGCGCTATCATATTGTGAAATTTTCAACTATGTTTTTCTGCTGTCCTGTGCAAATTTAATAATCTCAGAAATAAACTACACTATTGCAACTGAAATATGAAATACTGGCATTTGAAATGACAGAGGCATTGAAATGGTCGACACATTATCAGAAATACAATATCGTTCGATTTCCAAATGCGTATTCATGTTTCTTTTTAAAAAAAAATCCCTTTGCTAATTGCTATACTACGAATACATCCTTTTTCATCGATATAACAAACTACAGTAATTATACCAAAGTCCATTCATCCGCATATTCATAGATGCTTTATTAAGCTTGGTATAAGTTTCATCGTACAGTATCTCGTCGAAGAGTGAGATGAATAAGATCTGTCAATTATTGCGAATTGCTCGATTCATGATCCGCGACAAGCGGTCGTTTACAAGATCAGGTACATTGCGCACGTCTGTCAGTGCAATGGGTGCCCTCATGCATCGTTAGTCACCGTTGCTCATTTACGAATATAGCCGTGCAGTAAAAATGTCTAATCTTGTTCGTCTGACAAACAAAACGTAGTCGCTATCGTATTATAATTTCGATTTCACAAATAAATCACATTGTAAATACTAATCGCTTGATACATAGTATGAGAAAGAAGATGTAATCTTCTCTTGTATTACATGTCAATTTATTATCTCTTAATAATTTGATGAATTACTTTTATCAGCAAAACAATAAAATGACAAATTTAAGTTAATTATAATATACTGTCTAATAAATAACGTTTTATTGTTATTAAGTTTATACAGCTAGATGCTAGAAGATATATTTATGTATATATTATTCACGATGTTTATATGAAACTTATGCGAGATGTAAAACTCGACATATGATGCCTATTTTAAACTATTAAGTTTCTTTCGTCTTCGTAAAAGAAGATTTATACTTGTGCATGCAAGAAGGTTATTATACATTCATCAATACCCGCTATGTTTTCATGAATTTCGCCATGAAAGAAGTTGTTAAATTAAGATTTTAAAACTTACGGATATCAGTTTCCGATGAAGATGAATGAAAGATCTCTACATTTTAAAAAGATGAAAACAACAGCGAGTATATAATTTAAGTATGCGTGCTATTTGTAAATAATAATTTTTTTATTTGTAGTATTTACTATTTACATTAAGAAAAACGGGTAACAAATTTGTAACTTTATTAGAATGTATCTTTTTTCTAAGCGACAATCTATGTAAAAGCTCCTTTCTATGTGATATGAAGATATGATCTATAACATACAGTCTGATTAAATTCAGCTGACCTATTTGTAAAATTATTTTACAAAAATATATGAACTTTTGATTTACATATTTCTGCTAATCAAAAATCGTTACATAGCGAAATGTTAAAATTTAAATTGTTGAAAAATAGACGAATATAATTAATAGATATAATAAAAAACTGTTTGTTAAAAATTATTTAAAAGATCCATGGATATAGAATAATATAAATAAAAATTGAAAAAATTTGCATGTGAAAAATAACTTAAATTTTTTCAAATATTTTAAATATTCAATAATTTAAATATTCATTCGAGTATTACTACGAGATATAGATTAAACTAATAAAGTAAAGCATTTACACATCTGTATATGTTTTATAAAGTCGTATCTGCGCATCAAAATTGATTAAAAATATTTCAAATGTAATCACAAAGTCGCAATACAAAATTCTAATTTCTTAACGCCGGATTCTAATCTAGCCTTCATGCATGAATAAATAACGTATTTATAATCCTCTTAAAATTTGAATTAACTTTTCGATTATCCGCTGACACATGTAATTAATTTATTTTAACAATGTAATTATCAGAGAATGATAAAAGTCATGCATTTATATATAAGTAATTGCAGAGTCCTCAATTTTGAAATCAATTTTTGTGTAGTAAAAATGAGTTTAACGTCAATGAAACTTTTGCTTTTGAGAAAGATAAAGAAAATTTTCTTACACACACATCATATTATTTATATATTAATATTATATACATATATATATTAAAGTTTATAAATTATAATTATACATTAATTAGCATTATCTAGTTTTTCAACAATTAACATAAGTATTAAATAAAAATTATATTAGTGATCTTACGTAGCAAAATTAACGTTTATTATTTTATCACAACTTTATAAATTATATCAGAAAACTTATAATATATTTATAATATATTTAACATTATTTAAACAAAATACAATACTGTATTTCTAGTGAAAGTGCTTGCATTAGTGTCGTATTTCATAAAGTAATCTTTTAAGTATCGCAAACCGTCAAAGATTAAATTGAAGTTATAAATCATATGTTAATATAGCCCGATTCACGAAGAACTAAAATGAAAAATAATGAGCACACTCCCTCCCTTAAATAGCAATCTAATCTGATTTAATGGTAAACCGAGTAAATGGAAAATAAAGATCGGCACGCAAAGATGTTCTGGATCGATAGTATCTCGGTAATCGAACTGAAGCTAATTATTCTGGTAAGAAACAGATACAAAATATATTACAAGTCGACGAGACTGCTTAAGATATGCAATGTGCATTGTAACACAGTTTTAATTAAATTTAAATCTCTCATTTACGTCGGTTACGTTCCATTCTATTCCATGTGCACATCAACATAATGTTGCTGACAACAATGTGCTTTTTTTCTGTACTTGTAAAAAACTTTTGTATCTTGGCAAGCTTCATGTAAAACAGTTATTTATAGAAATTGTTGTTAATATAAAAGATCCTAAAAAATATATTTCTCAAAGTATGCATTCTAAAGATAAAATATTGGCAATATTGCAGTTATTAATAAAAAACACGAATGATGATATTTATATTTAGAATAGAAATTGACTATAAAGAACAGTATTTGAGGATATGTCAATAGGACAGTCAAATTTCATAAAAATTATATAAAATGTGATTTATTTATATCGATCTTAACTGCAACATAAAGACGCATGTATATCTCGTGACATTCTTTCATTTTTATCTGTCATTTTTATCTTATCGATTTTTTATTGATTTTTTTTTTTATCAGGTCACATGTCTAAAACCAGTAGCGAGTATTCTTTAATAATTCGCGTATACTAATTTAATGTATTCCACTTAAGTCGCGCGATACGCTCGAAAACTATATTTGAGAGCATGTGAATTTCTGGTTTGCCTTCATATACGCAGACCGGCAAAGTCCAACATATCCGAATGTGTAATCTTCAGTCCAACCCGGGATCTATGTAAATCCAGATGGAAAGATCCGTACGCGCGAAGAGGGCAAGAGAGATAAACAGAAGGAACGGACAGAGGGGAACCGGTACAGAGAGAGGAAACGATAGTGGATAAAACGAGTTCCGAATCCCCGCACGTTCGCGTATTACCATTGATAGAGGCATCAGGGTCCCTCCTGAAAATAAACGCAATGTCTCCTATCTAAGATCGAAGGATCAATACCCGTCGCGATGACCCGTGAAACGGTTACACCCGAACGCGCGGAACCAAACCGTTTCCAGAATTATACTCATGAACAATGCAAGAGTCGGCGGTCCCTAATCGAAGAAGTAAGTAAGCAGGCAGGCAAGCAAGCGCCACGGCGCGCATACGCGACGGCTTCACCCGAGCTGAGTGACAGCTTCCGGTATCTCTTATTTCGGGCACAATATCCGACCACGAAGCTCATCAATCCTGCGCGTCGGCATGGGCTACGGGCCAGAGCTGCACACGTATGAGACAAACTTGCACGTACCTGGTAACTGGAAATTTTGCGATACTATCTATCATTCCTTCATCCTACCGTAAAAAGAATACCAGATTCCGTGTATTTCGAGAATGTAATATGGACCTTCCC